AATGTTTCTAATCTTTTGTTGTATGAATACTCTATTTAGTACCAACTTTTTCAAATGTTTAAAATTAATTCACATTTAAATATTTTTAAAAAAATACAAATTACTCTTAAAGTGGCCAAAATGATTCATACTTAGCTTCTTTTTTGGCACTGCATACATTCTTTTTCAAAGACATTAGGTGATTATTTTGTTAGCCAAAGGAAAAAAAATACAAGTTTTCCATCACCTTACAATTAAAGAAAAAAAAAAAAAAGACGGGGTCTACACTGTGTAAGAAATAAAACACAAGAGACTATTTTTATTCTTCATCAATAAACACTCTACTATCTGTAAACTACTTTTGTTTGGTCTACTTTTAAAAAGGAACTTTTAACTTTCACTCATTAACATTCCAAGTATAGCTATGAAAGTTCAAGCATGGAAAAGACAAAGATCTTTACTAAGATGGAAGTTAGGGACCTTTCCTTTCAAAAACACTCACCAGCATCCTCTTCTCTGCTAGCTGCCGACACACAGTTGCTACATCTTTGACGTGTGTGGGGAACCTCTGCTGCCAGTGGTCCATATTCGCTGACTTGTTGCTGAACTGCACTTTATCAAACATAACAGTCACAGCACTTTCTTCAAGCTTCTCAACTTCCCCATACAGAATAGGAATCCTCAAAACAGCAGCTCCTAGAGATGAATAATAGCAGATAATACTTTAATGCTGATTAATATTTTAATTTTTTCATGTAAGATGAAAGTGTGTAAATTTAAACACCCAAGCAGAAACTTTGTCTTTTAATAAAAATACACCAAAATGACACAGCTCACTTGTAATAACAAAAAGATCACATTTAAGTGTATTCTGTCATTTGGAATATTTTTATATATAACTTCTACATTATTCTGATCATTAAAAATAAAACCTATCATGACAACTAAATGCAATGAATAGGCCTTGATTGCCAGATTAAAAAATAAAAGCAAAAAAGGATATTTAGGGCACAACTGGGAAAATTCCTATATAGACTGTATTTAATTATAGTACTATATTAATGTTAAATTTCCTAAGTGTGATAACTGCATTGTAATGGTAAATTGTTGTTAGAAGATACATGGTGAAGTATTTTGGGATGAAATTCAACTAATTATCAATGGGTCTGACCAAAGTATACATATAAAACAAATGGGGCAAAACATTAATAATGGGTGAATCTATGTGAAGTGAAGAAGGGTGAGTGCTCACATTTATTCTTCCAACCAATGATTAAGAAATTTTTTCTTCTTCTTTTCAAAAATCTAAGGTCTTGCTCAGGCTGGTATGCAGTGACACAATCATAGCTCACTGTGGCCTCAAAATACTGGGCTCAAGGGATCCTCCCGCCTTAGCCTCCCCAGAAGCTAGGATTATAGCCATCTGTCACCATACCCAGCTAATTTTTTGTAGAGATGGGGGTTTCACCATGTTGTCCAGGCTGGTCTCAAATTCCTGGCTTTAAGGAATACTCCTCAGCCTCCCAAAGTGTTGGGATTACAGGCATGAGCCACCCATACCTAGTCTGATTAAGGAATTTTGTGGTATTTAGATATATTAGTCCCTGCTGAGGGGATACAAAAGTCTTTGGATAATTAACACTTTAACTGAATGTCAACAAATATTCTTTTTAAAGTTAAATTATTGGACAAGTGAACATAAATATTGCTATGGTTTGAATGTTTTTGTCCCCTCCAAAAATTCATGTTGAAAATCATCGATCCAACAGTGTTGGGAGGTAAGGGCTTTTGGGAAATATTTAGGTCATAAGGGCTCTGCCCTCATGAATGGATAGATTCATGCCATCATGAAAGGGCTTATGGGAGAGAGCTCCGCCATTTTTCCTCTTCTGCCATGTGAGGACGCAGAGTTCCTCCCTCTGGAGACACAGCAAGACCCTTCATCAGATGCTGGCACCTTCACCTTGGACTTCCCAGCCTCCAGAACTATGAGAAATAAATTTCTATTTTTTATAAATTACCCAGTCTACAATATTCTGTTATAGCAGTACAAAACAAAAACAGGAATGCATTCAAGGATGATTTCTGCAGAATAATTTATAATACAAGAGAACTGAAAAACGAAATGTCCATTAGTGTGGTATTTTATACTAGTAGCTGCTTCTCAAAGACACAGTATAGTCCAAGGCAGTAGTTTTAGTGCAGGGGAATCATTAAACGAAGTACTATGCAGCTATTGATAGGAATAAGATATCCCAGAGATGGTTCCACAGGTACTAAAATGCAAAGATTGGGGGTGGGGGAATCAGATTATAAAACAACAAGCATACATTTTCTTAAATACACAAAAAATGCTTTTATATATAACCACATTTCATACTTATATCCCTGAAAGCTTT